TGCTTTCTTAATTACATCAATTTGATCATCTAAATGAGCTGTTCTTTGCTTTTGGTCCCTATCAATGTCCACTAATTGTGTTTTCTTATTTTAGATGGGTTAGCCAGAAAATTCTTTAAAGACGGAAGGCCTTTCGATTTGAAGGTTGGTAGTTTTCTCTTTTATGAGCTTTGACAATCTAGTGCCTGCATGTTAAGCAGAGAGCATTTCTGGGTTTTGCCTGAAAATTGTTTTGAACTTTAGAACAAGAAATCAATGAAATGTATTCTTTTTATAACCGAGTTTTGCTTCAGTAACAATGCAACTTATATTTGTTATTTTCTTTTCTTACATGGGTAACTGTTAACTTTTTGTTTAGATTCTTTTCAAAACAAGTGTTGGTTACATATGTGAGCCAAGCAAATATGAATAATTGATAATAAATTTTTAATTAACTTTTTATCCAACAAAATCTAAGCTCTTATTCAATAGCAATTTTTGTACTGGTTAGTGATCTGTATTTATCATGTTGTTTGTAATTTTCTTTATGCATGAATCACTTTAGCCTGTCTTTCTTATCCTTTCCACCCATAATCAAATTACAAGTGAAACACGTGTATTATATGTATTTTGAGTATCAATGCAGATATACTGATTTATCTTTATTTCTGAATGACTATTCCTTGGATATGCTGATATGCTCTATGTTCTCTTTCTTTATGGATCTATCGCTATTTGTAAATACTAATTTTAACTAAATCCTGCAGGACTTAAAATTGTATGAGAAGAGGATATTATTACATAGAAGGTTGAAGAATTGCTTTTTGATTAAAACAAAAAACTATGAGTGCATGCTTTCCACTATAACCTATCTGGTAAGTGAACTTGGTTTTTACTTTTGGAGGGTCTTGTTGACCAACCTAAGCACAGAAAAAGAAATTTATGCACGAACTTCTTTCTTTTAAGATATATGGTAATACATAATAGCCGTTGCTAAAATTTCTGTAAACACTGAAGTTAGTGGAAAGAGTGAGTATCCCACACATGCTGTAATCTTCTGCAGAGAGTGCCATCTAATTGGTTAAAGAACTTTTTATGAATGTAAAATCTTTTCTGTATAGATAAATACCTTTCATATCCATAGCCAATCCATTCAATAAAGAATAAGCAATTTTCTTTGTCCTCTAAATCAGCTCTGCATCCGCAAGATGTATCAATTTTTTTATTTATTGTTATTTTACTCTAAGGTACATGAGAGCTAAACCCCCCAAATTGGAAGTGATGAAAACATTTTATCAAAAGGTGGCCAGTGAGATGGAGGAATCTCCAGCTCGTAGCCCGCGGAAAGCGCTTCACTAAACCGATTAGTTGCCTTCAATTTATAGAGTACTGATACACTTAAAGACACTTATGTTTGATTATAGTGAAACTATATTTAGTATTTGTTGAGTTTTTTTCTCGATGGTAATCTGAAAGCAAATTCAAATCAAAGCGTCAGTTTCATCAGTAAAAACATACTCCAAATTTCAATGTTGCATCTTCAGTTTTTTCAAAGGCAGTTCCTTGACAGTGGATGGCTCATCATTTTCTGGAAAATGTTTGTAGGTACGAAATTGAGACAAAAAAAATCTCAACTTATTATCATGGACATTTTGTCCTGTGCCATAGGTATGTTCACTATTTGAAGTTGCTTGATACCATGAACTCGCTTTCTTACCACACATATTAAATTGGATGTATATGTGTGTGTTTCAGTATGTGCTGGACACCAAAATTTAGTCTGTTTTCTTTGGTCAGATATTATCCCTGCCTTGCTTCTTTTATAGATTTTCAAGTATTCATGTATAGATTGACATTTGTTCTATTAGGATAATTTAATCTACCTAGTATTTTGTAATATATATGGGAAATAGATCATAACTTCAAGATATGAATCAGCTATCGTATCTATGTTTTTTTTTCTCCGTCATTGAGTTATAAGGAGGCTTGAGGGAAATCTGTTCAGTTTTAATACATGTGTAGTATACTTATCTTTTTGCTAGTACTGGTTTGTAGATTTTAGCTTTTCCAAAAATACTATGTGATCATAAAAGCAATGTTGTGTTACAGCTTGTGAGAATGAATTAGGCTTGAGAGTGTTGTGATCATAATTTGAGGGCAGTTAAGCCATGTAAGTTCAACCGTCATTCACTGTTTGGGATAAATTATTATGTCATATACTGAGACGCGTATGGCATGTTTTGGTGAAGGAGCTTGTCTGAGCTATCAAACCATGACTGAAGATGTTAAAGGTTCTGTCTCAATTAATACTACAATAGTTCAGCGAGCCATCCAGCACTTCCAAACTAGAGGGTAGCAGTGATTTTTGTTGATCTCTATTTCGAGATTAGATCAGTGGTGCAAAGTATCCTGTATTACAGCATGATTTTCTGCTATTTAGCTACAAGTTAATGTTCTTTTTGAATGCCATCTGACTGTTTTAGAGAGTCTTCTACTGCAAACAACGATTGTTCCTGTATCTGTTGGGACATTAGCACAGCCTGTCCATCTGGACAGTGATACGTTTTTCGCCTTCTTTTCAGGAAAGAGGAACCTGATCCTGATTTTACTTGGAAGTCGTGAGACATCTGAAGGTTGATTCAGGAGATTGTATTTTCATTGATGACAGGATCCTCTAATTTCATATATATTAAAACTATTACTCTTATAGAATCTGATTTCTGTATGAATCGATTTACATGTCTTCTATTCTCGTTGCCACTAGATTAGTCTGCCAAAAGTATGGGCCAAATTGCTACTTCTTGACATGTTAGTTGGATTGGATCATTTCAAAACTTCGTTTTTGTAAAGTATCTGTCAAAATGATCGCCAATTCATCGTTATTGCTAGTAATCTGACTTTAGAAGACATCAATGTTACTATTTTCTGTATTAATAGGTATCTTGAAATTGACTAGCATTGCCTACTGAATCGGCTTACATGTTTTCATAGAAAGAGATTGGTTTGTTTTAATGTCGTACATTTTGAGCTTCACTTCGCTCGCTAATTTATTGCCTTGGACTGACACCAGGTTAAAGAACGTGGAGGCTGCAACTGAAGTTGGCATAGTCGGTCTGCAGTTCAAGGGTGCTGATTTTCTGGTCGTGATCTCCAAATGGGAATCAACGTTTCAACAAACAATTCCCCAGAGTGGAACCATCCCAGATCACCAAAGAACAGAGACCGTAATTCTTGGGAGGTTTTATCCTATGACTTTAGCCCTCCTTTCATAATTGTTTCCTCTTTTTTTCTCAAATCGTAGTAAAATGCTATAAATTCATGAGTATTACAAACATTTTCTTTTCTTTGGCCAATATCTTCGAAGATAAATGCCTTCGATTCATACTAAATTGTAAGCTTTATTAACTTCTTGATCAATATCAATCCTTGCCGAAATTCTCCCCAGCTTTTCATCAGCTTCTCAACTTACTGAATTTGTTGAACTTTCACGTAAAGTTTCTTGTGATTGTACCAGGTCTTAATCGAATCCATCGTCAAACGTGGTATTTCAGTTCCGTTGTGTAGTGATGAAAACAAACAAAACAGCACTATCCATGAAAGAAATCCAGGGAACAGTTTCTGAAACTGAAGAACTCTATAGTGTTCCCTTTGTGTATTTTGCAGAATTTGGAAGGCTGAGAGAAACTGTTTTAATCCGCGACGTTTTTGTTGCCGTTACAAGATTGGTAACGTTACGGAACATGAAACTTATAATCACATAACTTTCAGTACTAAAATAAAGTGTTACAACTCTTTCATTGTAAATTATCATTTAAATAACAAGTTTGACGTTTTACGATTAAATACTTGAATAATGTACAGGTGTACGGTTTTATCAGTTGTATGGTAAAAACATCTTTCCATCCGTTAAACCATTGTTTAAAACCTGACCTATTATAAGATTGGTAAGTGATTGAGTTCAGGTCGATCACTGATCAGCATCAGAAGTATTTTTTAAAAACTGTAAATTAGCCCTTAAATTTTATTTATTTTAAAATGCGCAAAATAATAATTAGAATCTAAATTTTTGAAATATGTAAAAACACTCCTAAATAATTTCAATAGTCCCTCATAAATTTCAAATATAACAAAAACCTCTGTAACCTGAACTAGATCGGAGAGGTTTACCCAATCCCGGTTTGACTAGCGGTTCGTTTCAGGTTCAAAACAGAGCATTAAACTCGTCTATCAGTTTTGGTAGTACAATTTAACAAGTTATCCAACATTGTCTAACATAGAGATAGTATCTAGCGTATGACATGTTAACTAACATTTGATATTAAATTTTTTTTTTACAAAGTGTTGAACTAGGTGTATGCATCTCGACTAATTTTTTTAGAAAGATTACCACAACAATCCACTGACCCCCAATTAAACTATAGAATGTTCACAATAGAGATAAACTGAAACTGTGCGTCTGTCTACCCTATCTCCAATTCGTTCTAACCATTTGAATTATCCATGGATGTTGTTATAAATTACATTTTCACTAAACCAGAACCAAATCAACCAATGTTTTTATTTAAAAAAAAAAAAAAAACTTGAACAACACGTGTGTATTAGAAATTCGACCGAATTGAATAAGTTTAAACTGTTATATTAGTTAATTTAAGGTCGCAATAATTAAAATTTTTAATAGAATAATAATTTTTTTATTATAAATTTTGATAGTATTCGATTTATTGAATTAATTGCTAATTCAAACCAACTTTGAATTTTTACATAGAAAAATAAATACAAATTAGTGAAATAATAAATAAAATATAAAAACATAAAGAAAATATGATTATAGTATTTGAATATATAAAGATAAAGAATATACCTTGTAAAAAAAAAACAGCAATAAAATGTAATTACAGGAACAAAACATATCATGTTCTTGCGGTTGTTTGTTGTGATCTACCTCTCTTTTTATCTCTCTTCTCACAATTCATGCTCCTTGCTTTAACTGTTCCTCCTACTTTTCCTAAAATGAGGCATGACTCAGTTCGCCATGGTAACTTTTCATCTTCTTTTCTCAATTTTGGTTACTGTTTAACGTTCTTCTGCCTTCAATTTATGTCTCTTTCAATTTATATACAAACCTAATGGATGATTTCTACGTTTGATTTTGACTGATGGGTTTTTGAAAGTTGAAGTTTTTATTACAATTTGGTTTTTTAATTATTATATAAAGTTGTTCCTTGTGAATTTAGTTAGAACATAATTGATGAATCAACTGGGTATTGTGGTATGATGGGGTTTGTTGAAATTGAATTCTTATAAAGTTGAGCTTTTATTCTTAACATGAAAGTTGTTCCTAGTTACAGTTTGGAATAGCTGTTGTTTAGGGCATATCATGTTATCAAATTCATACAGACATAATGATGATATGTCAACTGAGTATTTTTGTTTGTTGTTGATTTGTGTTGCAGGGTTTGAAGTTGAATATTATCATTATAAAGTTCAGTTTTCAATTCTTAGCTATTATTTTAAGGAAAATATTATGTTTATATCAATTCTAATGAAGATATAATGGATGATCAACGGGGTGTTTTTGTTTTTTAGTTCGTTGTTGAATTTGTATGGTGGGTGTTGAATTTGACTTGTAATAGTAAAGTTCAGTTTTTTAATTATAACTTAAGTTGTTACAGTTTAGTGCAGCAGTGTTTTAGGGAAATATCATGTCTTTGTCAAGTTTATACAATAATAGTTGATGGTACTATGCCAACTGGGTATTTTAGTTTCCACTGTGATTTTTATGGGGGTGCTGAAGTGAATTTATCATTAAAAGTTAAGTTTTTATCTTAGCATAAAGTTGTTTTTAGTTTAGTTATGTTGTTAGGTAAAACTTTAAGGATAAGGTGTTTGTTAGGAAAACCACTGGGATTGTTTCATAATGGGTTAGTACTATGATTAGGAAGTGTTGATGGAGCATTTATGATTGGTTAATCTTTCTTCTTTTTTAATATTAGAACAGTGGGACTAGGGTTTTTGGTGTTCTGTTTTAGTAATTCAGTTTTAAGAAATGGCTGGAATTTTTTGGAACTTCCAAACAGATATTTTTTTTTTTTATTAGTGATTAGGCCAACGTTAATGAGTAAATGGTGTTTTTCTGTCTTTGATTTGCCAAACTTTGGTTACTGATGCTAGGACTAGGGTTTTGCATGTTTTCTTTGATCAAATTTCAAACTAAATGGTTTATTGTTTTGTTTTCTTTGTGTGGTGTTTTATTTAAGTCAAATGTGAGAGGGGCCCATGATCTTTTCTACTCCATACATATTGATGATGAACTTGCAGGTGGAGGAGTTGGCTTTCCTCGTGAAGGACAATCTTCCATGTAAGCATCTTGTACTTTCGATGGAGGAGGCCTTGGTCAACTTCCTTCAGGATGATAACAGGTAAAAAAAAAAAAATGTGTTATATGAAGCTATTTTTCTTAAGGCTGTTAGCTTATGTGAATACTTTTCTAATAATATGTTTTGATTGCAGCACTGATGGGGTCCTTGAGTTGGAACCAATGAACTCCTACAGTCGTCTTCTCTTGCATAGATTGGCAGATATATTTGGGTAGTTCTTTTATTCCTTTTTTCCCCCTTCCCCTGCTTCATACCCTTAAATCCCCTAACCTTCCTTATGAGTTCACTGGGTTCGAATCTGAAGACTAGTATCAGATTTTACACCCTTGGGGGCTTTTTAAACTTGTGAGAAATTATATCCCAAGTGGATAGCCTCATGGGAATATGGGCCCTCAGAGGACTACTGCAGGGCATTCCTTTAAATGCATATTTGTTGCTAAATTGATCTCATCCTTTCATATATGCATTATGTTCTAAATTGAGAATTCATTTGATTACAGGATTACTTATTTTTTTTAAGCCTTTCATTGATATCATGAACTTTTTCTGATTATGTAGATTTGCCCATGAATCTGTCGGTGAAGGAGATGATCGACACTTGATTTTAGAGCGATGCCCTGAGACTTCAATGTATGTGAAGAAACATGATGCCATACCTAGGATTTGTTACATTATATATTCACTCTTGCATCTATCTCCTTATGTCTTGTCGTGTATTAAAGTTTGCTGGATAAATAATCCTGGGAGCACATATATAAAACATGTAATGAGGTGATGATGTGGATCATGTTGCCGCTTATTAGATCCTTAATCTTTCATCCTCAAATATGAAGCTTAAATAGGTGGACTTTATCATTAATAATACTATGCAACATGGTTCTCAGCTATTGTAGATTGCTGTGGCTTATTGAAACATGTTGCTAAACTGCACAACCATCAACTTGATGACTTGAGAGAACCATTGAAAGATGCTTTCTGATTCCTAATACTATAGTTTTAGGGTATAAAACTAGTTTAAGACAACGGTACTTCGATGATGAAAGTAAGACTTATAAAACAAAAGTGAATCTGTTCAATTTGTTGAAAACAGTTCCTAGTGAATCCACTTAATTAGTGCAGGTTCCTCGAGAAGATTTGAAGGTGTTTAATTTCTGTTACAAATTTTCTATTTTTATTTTTTATTTTTAGAAAATTTAAGTGTATTGTTTTACTCTGAATTAATTTAATTTAGCGTTTTGTAATGATTATAGTATATATTTGATGATATTATCAATCTTCTTTATAGTTTCAGCTGGAGTTGATTTTCAGTTATATTTGCACATCTTATTGTGATGAACCTGCATGGATGATTTTTTCCTTTTTCGTTTCTGTGCCTTTTAAGAGTTTTACTTTATCTTATCTTTTTGTGGAATACTGAGTCTGACATCAGGTTGCTACTTGTTCTGAATGCAAACATCTTTTGTGTGCCTCTGACAATCATTTGACTTAACAAATTTGATTATGAATGTTTGGATTTCGTTATAACAGCAGCATTGCCCTAGTAGTAGTACCAGTTTACGTTGAATGTAATAATTTTGATATATTAATGAAAAAAATGTTGGAATTCAGATTTTTGGATTTGTTTCATAAGTGCACGCATTACAGTATGAAAATATATTTCTCATAAATTTCCTGTTCCAACGTCTTTGTTCTTGGATTGCAGACCATCCATTCTTGTTAGTGATATCTTGTGGCAGTATGGAGAGCCTGAGCTCGTCACCACATCTCACCAATTATTGAGGAGGAAAGAGGCTCCACCAGGTATAGTTTTTCCTGCCCTTTAATTAAAAGAATTATTTATGCTAATGCCATTCCATCCTAAAAATGGAACTGAGCACTGTTGGGTACTTTTAACAATATCAACTATAGTCAATGATATTAGCAGTTTCTTTTTCCGTTGTATTTTGCCTTCTTTTGTGAATTACAGTGTATGACATATGATATCTTTGTATCTATCCAATATTATGTACCAAAAAAATATTTGAATTGCTAATTATGTTCGAGATGGATGATAGGAAATATGCCTTGTTGAGGTCCTGTACGAAGCAAAGGCTGTATAGCTGGTTGCTAACGTCTCTGAAAGATTATTGTTAAACTTGAGCTATAGCTGTCAAAGCATCATCAAGAAGCTTTCTATGTGTTGATGAAACACTGTTGGTTAAACTTGGGATGGAGGTTTTAACTCTTGAAAACATGGGAATGTTTGGATCTCCTGAAAATTTCCGTTTCAGTTGTCTCATACTAAAACATTAGGATACAAGAATCATTTCTGATACCCAACTAACTGAACAATCTTGGAGACACTTGGTATAAATGTGGTCAATTTGAAGTGGGAATGTTTCATTCATCTATCAGCCAAATGATATTTTTCTCTGAATTTTATTAAAAAGGAACTTTACAATAGGAGATAGAGAGAGTTCTGATCGTGAGGCTACTTAGATGTAGCCTTTTTGACGATTAGAATATTTATTCTCGCTAGGAAATATCTGTTATTATATTAAATTGCTTTTTTTTTTTTTTTTTAAATTTATTACCATGATCTAGTTTGTTGAATTATGTTTTTCTTTCTTTCTATATTAAATGCGAAATAGCATACAGGTTACTCTTGAGAATAAAAAAGTTGTGTTTGTTTCAGTGTTGAGCTCTCAATCTCCCTCTGTTGAACATACCTTTGAGGAGAGAGAAGCCGCATATTTGGCTGCTCGTGAAAGAATTTTTTCAATGGATGTGGGAGCAGTAAGAGAACCTGTTAGGCAGAAGCCACGAAATGTTCCGGACGTTGCTCGGCGAATGATTGCACATGCGTTGGGCCAAAAAGTAAAATCTGGGAATCAAGCTGATGTTATTAGAGACGACAAAGAATCTGCACAACTAGCCAATGAAGTTAACACTCAAAACAATGATAAAGCCAGACCCAATTCAAGTTTAGAAGCTCATCAGGAAACCACTTCCTCACCAGTACGAAATACGAATGTTCGTGGTAAACCAAAGGGCAATCTCCAAAAATGTAGAACGCCATCACAAAGCGATAGAACTACACCGCAAGAACCAGCTGAAAAGCATCACACCGATGTCAGTGTATCTGGGAATGGAAGAAGTAAAACCAGCGTCAGCAAAGAGTACTCCAAGGAGGAACATTTGGGAGCTGCAAAGAGAATGTTTGCTCAAGCCTTGGGTTTACACTCAGCCAAAGATGGTTTCCATTTGAAAAGCAATGAGACCAAGCAACTTGGCTCATAGTAGATGTTTTATTCAATGTTTCAAGGAATCAATTATTGTGCGCACTGATGAAATTTTCAAAAGCCTTTTGCTGATATTTACTAGCTGAGGGGAATGAAAGGGGAAAGAATCAAAGCTCCAAAGGACTCTTCTGGCTGCTGGCATCTTCTGTGATTTGCTTGCGGGCATTTTTGCAGCCAGAGCTTGTTGAAGCCATCCCCAAAATGTGAGTCAGCTTTTCCTGGCATCGTTATAGTATTGGCTTGATAAAGTTATCGAAATAGCTATGATGTTAGAATGGTAACATGTACCAGTCATCCTTTATGTATTATTAAAGTGATGTTGTATACAGTTCGATGTTTTATAACTAATTTTAAGTTATATTTAATATGCATTGTAGATTATGGAAATACTATTAGTTTCTGTAATGTTATCTTCATTTTGTTCTTAATGAGAACAAGCTCAATATCTGAGGATAGAGGAAAAGAAACTGGAGGTAGCTTAAACTGGAGTGTAACTTGCCTAAAATTGTTGACTCCTTTGGTTTTAGACAAACAGTGGCGGAGTCATGTTCTTAGGGCTTAAAAATCGAGGGGATCTTTATCATTTTTGAAAACATTTTCCTATTTGAATTTTTTTAATCCCCCTTACTTTAAAAACCCTAAATCGGCCCTACGAGTTCGAGCCTGATTCGGCTAGCGAGCCTAACGAGCCGAGCCGAGTGAATCACAGGTCAAACTCAGCTCGTAACGTCTCACGAACTAAGCTAAACTGGCTGAAATTCAATCAAGTGAGTCGTTACGAACCGAGCCGAGCCAGCTCGCAAGCGGCTCGGTTCATTGAACTATCCTATGAATCATCAATAATACAATACAACTTATTCATACAGGAACGTGATGGATAGTTTCCAGACTAGGGAGATATTTTTGAAATTCTAATAAAAGTAAGGGTAGGTCAAGAATTAAACCTAGAATAAATAACAAAAACAACAGGGACTAAAAGATAATACAACTTCATTTTCCCGGGTACCAAACAAAACAAACCCAACCACCACACAATTCGGAACTACAATCTGAATGGCAGCACTGTCTATGAGAGTACCTACCACACTGAGTTCAACAACAGCAATCCCTCTAAAACCTTCCTCTAGAAAACCCATAAGAATTTCTTTGAATCCCAGCTTTAAAACATTACAAAAAAGGCCCTCATGGCCTCATTGAGTGGACAAACTCAACAGAGAAAGCTCCCCATACTGCTCTTTGACATCATGGACACAATCGTTCGCGACCCTTTTTACCAGGATGTCCCTGCCTTCTTTGGGTACTCGCTCTTTTGCTTTATTGTTTATGTTTTGTTAGAAATTGGGACGCCAAAGTCAAAGCCCTTTGAAGGAAAAAAAAAAAAAAAACTTCTACGTAAGCAATGAAAATGAATTAGTGTGAGCAGAATTAGATTATTTGTGAAGAATTCTGATCAAATAAAGGGTAAAGAGAGATAGTGGGGTTGTTTTGCTGGTGGGTTATTTCAATAATGCTGATTAGTATCATGTCGAAGAAGTTAATACTTAAGACCATTGAATGAGGACGAAATATTCTCAGTTTTCATGCTACTTTTCAATGTGATGTGATTATGATCTAAGAAAGGGAAAGCTTCGTGAAGAGTAGATTGTTTGGTTTAGAGAATAGTGGAGACTTTGTTTTTAATGGTAGTTTCTGATAATCTTTTAAAACTTAGAGAAATAATGTTTCTTAAATATCATGGTTATTTCTATAATGTTGGTATTGTATTGTATTGTATTGGAGAAGTTAACATATTCAATGAGGATGAATATTATTTTGGTTAACGGTTGATTTTGATGCGATAATTAAAATAACCATACCATCTCTGGTTATAAATTGAGAATCGTGTAATTTAATGTGTGCTGATATTAAACTAAAAAAGAAAGCTTCTTGAGTTGTAGTGTGTTGTGTTTGGGGTTTAGTTATGATAAATTTTATAGAACTTAGAGTTTAAATGTTTTTGGAATTTTAGGGGAGGTTTATGATGATTTTGCAACTTCAGAAAGGTTCTTGATGAAATGGTGGCATCTTTCTGCACTTCTTTACTTTAAGATGATCAAAATGGCTGTTGAGCTTAGTTAACGCCTAGAAGTAAATGCTTCCAATCCGTAGAAACTCATAAAAATATCGTTAATCATCTTGAGTTAGGGTCTATAAAGGTAATAGACGACCGCATCTAATGCATTGAGCATCTGTTTTGTGTGAGATGTTGTGCTTATTCACCAAGAGACTTGTTAAGGACAACGTGCTAACATGGTGATGAAGATAACTGTTGTTGAGTTGATGCTTTGCCGTTGCTTGCTTTTGGTTATGATTGCTGAGCTTGCATAATATTAGATTTATTTTTTTTTTTATTTTTTTATTGCAAGGTACAGTTTTTTACTTTTTGGAAACAAATGAATGAATCATGAATTCAGGAAAATACATTTGGTTGGGAGAGTTTTCAGAAACAGTATTTGGATATCAGCATGCCTTCTCTTTATCTTCCAGTTATTTCCTTATATTAAGATTGCAATAATCAAAATGAGAATTTATGCTCAGAATGCCTATGAAGGAACTAATAGAATGCAAGCACCAACTGCATGGCTTGAATTCGAAAAAAGGGCTGATTGATGAGGTATGTGCGACACTTATGTCCAAATATTATCTTTCATCAGTTGAAAGAACTCATTTTCAGTTAAATTGATTTGAGGCATCATTGAGTATTGAATGATTAAATTTGTATGTATAGAATGTGAGTGATCAATTTATTATGTAATTAGGTCACTTCATGTTTGAAATTTGAAAAATCATTAAAGGTTTTATATCTTGTATATATTTTGATTGCATAATGGTATGTTATTGTTTTTTTTTGTGTTGTGTGTCCTTTTTTAATTTCGAAGTCTGGGATTGCATTGAAACACAAGTGATTTTGGAATTAAACTTGCTGATCAATAATCACTATTTCTGGATTGTTTAACTTGTCGGAAATGTGGGGTGGTCTCTCTCTCCCAAAAGTTGAGGATATCTTGCAAAGTATGCCCCTGTTTTTTTGGCAAATTTCTCTATACTCTTCATCATGTGATAGATTTTAGCTGAATAACTCCCTTCTGCTTAAAACCGCTCTATTGCTTTCTTAAATTACATCAATTGATCATCTAAATGAGCTGTTCTTTGCTTTGGTCCCTATCAAATGTCCTATACTAATGTGTTTTGTCTTATTTTAGATGGAGTTAGCCAGAAAATTCTTTAAAGACGGAAGGCCTTTCGATTTGGAAGGTTGGTAGTTTTCTCTTTTATGAGCTTGACAATCTAGTGCCTGCCATGTTAGAGCAGAGAGCATGTCTGGGTTTTGCCTGAAAATTGTTTTGAACTTTAGAACAAGAAATCATATGAAATGTATTTTTTTATAACCGAGTTTTTGCTTCAGTAACAATGCAAATTATATTTGTTATTTCTTTTCTTACATGTTGGTAACTGCATTATTTGTTTAGATTCTTTTTCAAAACAAGTGTTGGTTACATACTGTGAGCCAAGCAAATATGAATAATTGATAATAAATTTAATTAACATTTATCCAACTAAAATCTAAGTCTTATTCAATAGCAATTTTTGTACTGGTTAGTGGCTGTACCTTATCATTTTGTTTGTAATTTCTTTATGTCATGAATCATTTAGCCTGTCTTTTATCCTTTCCACCAATTATCAAATTACAAAGTGAAACACTGTATTTTATGTAATATTTTGAGAATCAATTGCAGATATACTGATTTATCTTTATTTCTGAATGACTATTCCTTGGATATGCTGATATGCTCTATGTTCTCTTTCTTTTAGGATCTATCCCTCCTTATTTGTAAAATACTAATTTTAACTAAAAATCTCTGCAGGACTTAAAATTGTATGAGAAGAGGATGATTATTACATAGAAGGTGTCGAAGAATTGCTTTTTGATTTAAAAAAACAAACTATGAGATGCATGCTTTCACTAATTTTCCTATCTGGTAAGGTGAACTTGGTTTTACTTTTGGAGGGTCTTTTGACCAACCTAAGCACAGAAAAAAGAAATTTATGCACGAACTTCTTTCTTTTAACAATATGGTAATACATAATAGCCGTTGCTTAAAATTTCTGTTCACACTGAAGTTAGTGGAAAGAGTGAGTATCCACACATGCTGTATATTTCTGCAGAGAGTGCCATCTAATTGGTTTTAAGACTTTTATGAATGTAAAACATTTCCTCTATGTATAGCATAAATACCTTCATACCATTAGCCAATCCTCATTCATACAAAGAATAAGCAATTTTTCTTTGTCCTCTAAATCAGCTCTGCATCCTGCAAGATGTATCAATTTTTATTTTATTGTTTTTATATGTCTATAAGGTACATGAGAGCTAAAACCTCCCAAATTGGAAGTGATGAAAACATTTTATCAAAATGGTGGCCAGTGAGATGGAGGAATCTCCAGCTCGCTAGTGCACACAACCTGCTTCACCAAACCGATAGTTGCCTTTAAATTTATAGAGTACACGATACACTTAAAGACACTTATGTTGTTATTATAGTTGAAACTATATTTAGTATTGTTGAGTTTTAATTTCTCTCGATGGTAATCTGAAAGCAAATTCAAATCCAAAGCGTCAGTTTCATCAGTAAAACTATCAGCTCCAAAATTTCAATGTTGCATCTTCAGTTTTTCAAAGGCAGTTCTTTGACAGTGGATGGGTCATCATTTTTCTGAAAATGTGTTTTGTAGGTACAGAATAATTGAGGACAAATTAAATCTCAACTTACTTATCATGGACATTTTGTTCCTGTGCCATAGGTATGTTCACTAGTTTGAAGTTGCTTGATACTAGAACTCGCTTTCTTACCCCAACATATTAAATTGGATGTATAGTGTGGTGTTCAGTATGGTGGTGGACACCAAAATTTAGTCTGTTTTCTTTGGTCAGAATATTATCCTGCCTTGCCTTCTTTTTATAGATTTTCAAGTATTCATGTATAGATTGACATTTGTTCTATTAGGAATAAATTTAATCTACCTAGTATTTTTAATATATATTGGAAATAAGATCATACTTCAAGATATGAATCAGCTATCAGTATCTATGTTTTTTTTTCTCCGTCATTGGAGTAAAGAGGTTTGAGGGAAATCTGTTCGTTTAATACATGTGTAGTATACTTATCTTTTTGCTAGTACTGGTTTTTGTAGATTTTAGCTTTCCACATAAATATTATTGTGATCATAAAAGCAAGTTGTGTCACAGCTTGTGAGAATGAATTAGGCTTGAGAGTTGTTGTGATCCATAATTGCAGGGCAGTTAAGCCATGTAAGTTCAACCACAGTCATTCACTGTTTGGGATAAATTATTATGTCATATACCTGAGCGGTATGGCATTTTGTGGGTGAAAGGAGCTTGTTCTGAGCT